GGGCAACAACTGCGGAGATTCTTCTCCGCCATCTTGAGAGAATTTTTCTCCAACCCAGTAAGTTGGTGGAATGAGGGCCGGCTTTTCAAACTTTATTGATGCATACCTCCACTCATTATCACCCTTCTTGGATGGATCATACCCAGGCTCAACTGTGATTTCCCCAATCGATTCAAAAACTCTCTGGATCCCATGTTTGACGAAGTCGTTGTAAGAATTGATCTGGTGACTAATCAGACCAAACTTGTCAAAGAATGAAGTGGATACTTTTTTGCAAAAATCAGCCAATTTCTTTTTGTTCAAATTCATTTCGTGTAAAGCAGCTGCATCAAGAGGCTCATCAAATTCATCTTCCTCCTCATCAAATTCAAGATCTGCAAACTCTATATCCATCGGTTCTGATCCATTTGATTTCTCTTTTCTACTGCTAGTCCCTGGGCCATCACTCATATTGCTGGCAGTCATACAAACACACATCAGAATTTGTAAAAGAAAATTCCAAACATCTGGATACAAAAGAAACATGAAAGTACCTAATGGAACGAATAGAAAGTCAATCACCTTCCATTCAATTGCATATAAAGGGAATGCTAGCCACTGAACTCTCATCGAAAATTAAACGATCCAAATATCAGACACAATAAATACGCACCCAAGGTTGAATTGGAGCCTCCACATTTGATAACGTAAAAATGTTAAGAGTCCAATAGTTCACTCACCAATAACTAGCTTAGAAGACGCACACACAATCTTTTGAGTAGGAGAGGTCCAGTCCCTCAACTACTAGACACTCCTCTGATCTACATTTTAAAATATAAGAATATCTACCAAAAAGTCTTAAGCATAGTATGTATAACACAACAGTTATTAATTATTAGTGTATTACCTATTAAAATGTAAGTTGACAATAACTTCAACAATAGCCAGGGAACGCAATAGCTTAGGGTTTCTCTCAAGGTGGCGGGAAGACGACTAAAACAGTCACTGGTTAAAGAATCAACTATTTTACATTCACTCTTAACTGAAAAAAAAAATGATTTTTCTCACGAAAAGCCACAAAATGATTTCATATACAAATCCTCGCCCCAAAAAAACCCATGATTAACCCTGATACCCAAATGTTCAAACTTGTTATGTTGTTCTCAGGGAAAAGGCAATTGCAATTTGCAACCAATAGGTTTCCAGCTATTTTCCAATTTTCCAGATCTTCTGAGTTGAAGATACTGTTGTGCAGCTACATTTCTATGATAAAAAAAACTCCACGGGAAAATGTATAGGAAACAGAAAGGCTCAGGGAACAATCCAAACCCATGCAAACACGTATACATAAATGAAGAGATAAATATCCATAGGAAGAAACCTACACTGGACTTCAGTTATCTGCAACCCACGTCAATGGAAATGTTTAAGGTTTAACTCTCAAACTCCGCTTCTAGATTAGCAAAAGTGAAGAGGAGTGCACTGAAAGAATTTTCGGGTCTTTTTACCTCCTGCATTTCATACTGTGCACGGGAGACTGGGAGAGTGGAGACCAGTGGAGCTGTCTTTTTCCTCACTTATTTCCGGACGTTCTCGGCGCCTTATTTTGACAATTGTAGCCTTTTCTTCTTTTATTCTATATTTTAAAAAAACCGTATAACAATAACATCCAAACCATAATCCGTTAATCCCAAATGATTTTGGGATCAGAATAAATAAATGTAAGAATAAGAATATAAGAAAAATAAAAGATTAAAAAATAAAAGAGCATAAAAAAAGCTAGAAGATAAAAATAGCATAAAAATATAAATTGACTGTTAGAATGTACATATTTAATAGTCAATATATTATGTGTGAATATATATGGTAGCTAATATATTCTCTGCGATAGATTAAATATTCTCTGTAAATCTGGCAGATTTAGTTTCCTTTTGTATTCTCTAGCTTGTGTATTTATACTGGTTGTACCCAGTGAATAACACACAGTGATTTCATTGCATCCTTAATCTCTATTATTTAATTACATGGTATCATAGCCACACAGGTTCTTCGGGTAGTATTTCCCGAAGTTCGACTCTGCTCTCTCTCTCTCTCTGATTCGATTCAGCATTCTTTTGTGCGGCACAGGACGTTGTTCGCACGGCGCAGGCACAGTAATCTGGATCGTGCAGCATAATCGTCGCAAGTTCGATTTTATGGACACTATCTGCACCAGTTCTCTTACCCTAGTTGTCACTCTTGCCCTAGTTGTCTCCAAGCATGGGTGATGATAAGAACTAAGAAGAGTGTGACTGAGATTACGGTCGGTAATGCTAGAATTACCGAGAGAAAACTGACTGGTGCTAAAGATTACGGGCAATGGAAAAGGACCATTACTAGGTATGTTAATCGTCTTGATCTGGGAGATCATCTAACTGAATCGGCTCCTCCAAGAAGTAATCCTGATGAAAGAAAGAAATGGATGATGGCCGATGATAGGTTGTTCAATCAAATTCAGAATACCATGTATCCTTCTATTGATAGTATCATTATTCATTGTGATACTGTCAAAGAAATGTGGGAATACTTGGAGTCTATGTATGCCAGTAAACAAGATCATTCTTATATTCATCAATTACTGATGCATTACTATAGACCTGAGATGAAAGACCAGACGTTGTTTCAATACTACAATGAATGTAAACAGATTTTTGAGGAAAAACGATATCGGTTCCCTATTACTGTTGATGTTAAGAGAATGCAAGAACAAGAGGAGCGGACATTTGTTCATGGTGTTTTGGCCGGGTTTGGTCCACAATATGAGGTATCACGGAGTCAAATACTGTCTGGTGGGACCCTCCCCAGTTTTTCTGACCTCTATGGACGTCTCCTTCCGGTGTGCAAGGATGTGGAATTCAGAATGATGAACTCGGTTGATACTGCTGCCCTACTCAGTGATGTGAGCCGTGGTAAGACCAATTCAGTAGCTACTGAGGGGACTCGTAATTCTTCTCGCACATGTTATAACTATGGAGGCTGAGGGTCATGTCAAGAAGAATTGCTGGAATTACATGGTCGTCCAGCATAGACATCTGAACAATTTCCTTACAGGCGTGTTGCTAATACGGTTATCTAGGATGGTATCTTACCGACTCCATCCATTGTTACTGTCTCTCACAGCCTCATCTGCCAACGGACCAGTTGATACGGGGAATCATGTTGCATGCCTCTCTACATCATCATGCAATTGGGCGATTGGCTCTGGCGCAATAGACCATATGACTGGTAATGAAAATATTGTGTCTTTCTTTACCTCTTCTATCAGCCAATCTCATGTTACTTTAGCAAATGGATCAACCACATTTGTCAATGGCCTTGGAACAACAACTCTTTCTCCAAACCTTTCTCTATCTTCTGTTTTATATTTATCTAAATTTCAGTTTAATTTAATCTAAGTCAGTCAGATTAAATTAAGTCCTCAACTGTTGTGTTATTTTCTTTCCCACCCATTATCTTTTTCAGGATCTTGGGACGAAGCAGATTATTGGTAAAGGCAAATTGGTTAATGGCTTATATGTTTTTGAATCCTTTGTGTCGAGATCAGTTGCATGCATGCACAACAGCATAAGTTCGTCTCTGTTGAAAGTTCACTGTCAATTTGGTCATCCATCGCTTTCTGTACTACAAAAAATGTGTCCTAATCTGTCAAAGGAGTCTGTTCTGGAGTGTGAAGCATGTCAATTTGCTAAGCATCACATAACAACTTTCCCTCCTCAAAGGAGTCTAGTTTTGATTTAGTTCACACTGATGTGTGGGGTCCTTGTCCTGTTGTTTCCAAACTTGGTCATCGTTATTTTGTCATATCTGTGGATGCTTTCTCTCAGGTTACTTGGCTTTATCCTTTGAAATCCGATTCAGATGTGTTTTCTGCATTTTGTACCTTTCATGCTGAAATTCAAACTCAATTTAATAAGAATATACGCATTCTGAGAAGTGATAATGCTAAAGACTATCTATCTAGCACTTTTCAGACTTATTTATCTCGCCATGGGATTTTACACCACACTTCTTGTCCCTATACACCCCAACAAAATGGTGTAGCTGAACGAAAAAATCGACACCTATTAGAAGTAGCTCGAGCCTTAATATTTCACATGGGGGTTCCCTAAACCATTTTGGGTAGACGTTGTATCTACTGTGTGCTACCTTATCAATCATATGCCGTGTTCTATTCTTAATGGTCAGATTCCGTACTCCGTTTTATTTCCCTCTCAGTCCTTGTTCTCTCTTGTACCTCGTGTGTTTGGTTGCGCATGTTTTGTCCAGGATATGCGTTCCCAGGTCTCAAAACTTGATCCTAAATCAATTAAATGTGTTTTTCTGGGTTATTCTCGATTACAAAAAGGATATCGATGCTATTCTCCTTCACTGGGATGATATCTTATCTCTGCAGATGTCACATATCTTGAAGAAACACCTTTCTTTCAGCCTAGTTCATCTTCATCCCCTTCTTTGGAACTCCTTAATGATGAGTTTCTAATATATACCATCAGCCAGCCAGAATCTATCCCTTTCAGTGAGGTTTCCCCATCAACTTTCCGTTCTCCTTCACCTCCTCCCCTTAAAGTTTACTCTCGTCGTGCGCGCACTGTGACTACGGCATCTGCTATGGCTACCAGTGTACCACCACCATCTTCTGCTTCGCCTCCAGATTCTGCTTCTTTTGACCTTGATCTCCCAATCGCCCTCCGCAAAGGTACTCGTACTTGTACTTATATTGTTTCTTCCTTTGTTACTTATAATGCATTATCACCTTCTTCCAAAAGCTTTGTTGCTTGTTTGGATTCTATTGTTGTTCCTTCAACTGTTTCTGAGGCTTTGGCTCATCCTGGTTGGCATGAGGCAATGCGAGAGGAGATGATGGCTCTCAATCAGAACCACACATGGGACCTTGTATATCTTGCACCCAACAAGAAAGCTATTGGGTGTAAATGGGTGTTCACTGTCAAGATGAACCCTAATGGTTCTGTTGCTCGTTTAAAGGCACGGTTAGTAGCCAAGCGTTATGCTCAGACATATGGTATAGATAACTTTGAAACTTTCTCTCTAGTTGCCAAACTTACATCTATTCGATTGTTTATCTCTTTGGCTGCTTCTTACAATTGGACACTCCACCAACTTGATATTAAAAATGCATTTTTGAATGGTGACCTCAGCGAGGAGGTATACATGGAGCAACCACCAGGATTTCTTGCTCAGGGGGAGTCTGGAAAGGTATGTAAATTAAGGAAATCGTTGTATAGTATGAAACAATCCCCACGAGTTTGGTTCGGTCGTCTCGGTGCGGCAATAGTTAAATTTGGCCTACGCATGAATGCTTATGATCACTCAGCTTTTTTCTCTACCTCCAATTCTGGATGCATTCTATTAGTTGTGTATGTTGATGATATTGTGATCACTGACAGTGATGCAAGTCATATTCTGAAATTGAAAGTTTTCATTGCTACTTGCTTTCAGACCAAAGATCTTGGGCCCTTGAAGTACTTCTTACGGATAGGAATCTGGCGTAGTAACAAGGGAACTTACTTGTCTCAAAGAAAATACTGCCCAGATGTGCTAAATGATGCAGATTTGGTTGAGGCAACATCGTGTGATGCTCCGATGATCCCAAATTTAAAGTTAACAGCTCATGAAGGTGATTTGCTCGAAAATCCTGAGGTATACCGAAGGATTTTGGGAAACTGAATTATTTGACTATCACCCGACCTGATATTACTTTCTCGGTCAGTTAGTTTCTGTCCACTCCACGAACATCACACCGGGATGCAGTTACTCATATCATAAGATACTTGAAGGCGGCTCCAGGGCTTGGGATACTATATCAAAACCATGGACATCATGTTATTGAAGGGTTCGCTGATGCAGACTATGTTGGAAACCCTAATGACCGACATTCCACCACTGGTTACTGTGTATTTGTTGGAGGAAATATTGTATCCTGGAAGAGTAAGAAGCAAAATGTTGTCTCTAGATCAAGTGCAGAATCTGAATACCGAGCTATGGCACATACTACATGTGAGCTGGTTTGGCTTCGACAGTTGCTTGGTGAACATGGATTTGCTCAAACACAACCAATGAGATTATGGTGTGATAATCAAGCAGTTATCCATATTGCATATAATCCTGTTTTTCATAAAAGAACAAAGCATATCCAAGTTGATTGTCACTTTACTTGAGAAAAGGTAAAAGATGGTACAATTTGCACTCCACACATCAAAACAAGAAATCAACTGGCAGATGTGTTCACCAAGGCTCTACCGGGGACACGTATCAATTTCATTTGTAACAAGCTGGGCATGATTAATATCTATGCTCCCGCTTGAGGGGGAGTGTTAGAATATACATGACGAGCACTTTGTCACGGTGCGTCAAAATAATATTCGATACTAACACTTATACGTAGTATAGGTGAAGTAGAGTTCGTATCATCAGGATAAGGAATAATTCTCTTTTTAATGAAAGTAAATAAAGGGGGGGTTTGGATCGAGTGATTTAATTTAATTAAACACGAAGATGAACGACTTATATGAGGTTTAATTCAAGAATAAAAAGGACTTGGCATTGCTACTTTCCACTTGTTGATATATTTTAGTCGATCATTGTTATATCTATAACTTATCCCCTCTCGAATACTCAATTGAGGAGTATATCCAATTCATCGAGGGTAGTTATTAACAACGACCGTTCATTAATAACCCTTACTATTAGTCCAGTATAGAACACCGCCATATACCGACTTGATAGTAGCATTTAATCTCTTAACTCCTTGATGAAATCAATTGAGATTGATAACCTCAACACAACGGTTTCGGTTTAACCAACAAAATTAATCCCTCTTAAGTTTATTAACCATGACCGTGCATTAATAAACCGAAGTTACTTACTTGTGAAACCATCAACGATTAACCATTGGTTCGTTGATCGTTTCTAGTAATAATTAATATATGAAACAAAACTAGTTGATCCTTTAAGTAATGTTCAAAATATTAATATAAAATATGAATAGGAATTAATTAATACTCAAGTAAGAATAATATTAAAGAAGATGAATCCTACTATAGTTAATATCAAGATATTAACTAATTGTCATCTTAGTAACACTCTCCAATATTAACATAGAGGAAGAAATAACTATTACTATAACTAATGTCGAGATGTTAACTAATTGTCATCTTAATAACACTCTCCAACATTGATATAGAAATAGTATTTAAAGGAAGAATTAATATTCAAGGAAAGAAGTTAAGAAAATAACTCACAACTTTAATAATCAACAAACTTCAAGAGCAACACCAAGAAATGGAAGTTTAGCTCCTCATTTGGAGACTAAACATGCTATAAAAATATAAAAGAAATACTATTCTAAGTTGAGCTTAAGAGTATGGAAGAAGGATTGATTTTTTTGTGAAGGAAAAGGGGTGTATTTATAGGTAGTGTTTGGAGGTGGCAGGGTTGTGTACCCGATCGGGTATATAGGGCACCCGATCGGGTATTTTAGGCAGTTTCCCGGAAAATCACTTTTCTAGACATACCCGGTCGGGTATGAGCCAAATCTTCAAAATCCTGCACTTTTTTTTGTCTCTCCAGATTCTGATTTTGACACCCGAATCAACTCAATACCTGATCGGGTATTGCCTATACCCGACCGGGTATATGAAATATTTTCTCAATCTTCTTTTTATCTTGTCCCCTTGCACCTTCCTTGATCTTTTGGGGTCCAATCTTGATCCTTTGGATGATCTTGACCTGTTTTAAGCTCAGAATAATCCTAATCTAAACAAATTACATTTATATAGGAAAATAAACTAATTACACCAAAAGTGTGTAATTTTCCAAACAACAACAAATAAAACTAGTTAAAATAGAAATAATACATAATAAAAATACAACCCTATCAATACATATTTAATAGTCAATATATTCTATGTGTGTGTGTGTGCATACATACATATATATATGTGTGTGTGTGTGTGTGTGTGTGTGTGTGTGTGTATGGTAGCTAATACATTCTCTGCCGATAAATTAAATATTCTCTGTAAATCTGGCAGATTTAGTTTCCTTTTGTATTCTCTAGCTTGTGTATTTATACTGTCTGTACCCAATGAATAACACACAGTGATTTCATTGCATCCTTAGTCTCTATTATTTAAATTATAACGACAAAGAAGATAAGTTATAATCCAATGAATAACACACAGTGATTTCAATCATCCACACGAATGTGCGCCATCCACTTTGCCCTCTCCAAAGTCATAATCTCAACCGAACAAAAAAACGCATATAAGTTCTGATTTCTCTAATCCAAGTTTGTTTGGGTCTTCCCCTCCCTCTCCTCTATGTCCCTTCTCTCCACCTCTCAAGTCGTCTAACAGGTGCATCATCCGGTTTTCCACGCACATGCCCAAACCACCGCAAACGAGACTCTTGCATCTTATCTTCTATAGGTGTTACTCCCACCTTTGGTCTGATTATCTCATTCCTCAAGCAGTCTTTTCTGGTATGTCCACAAATCCAACACAACATATGCATCCCTGCCACACTCATTTTTTGAATGTGCCATTGTTTCACCGCCCAACACTCTACATCATACATTAATGAAGACCTAATGGTTGTTCGATAAAATTTACCTTTCAGTCTACTCGGCATACCTCGATCGCATAGAAATACCGATGCACTCTTCCATTTCATCCACCCATCTCTGATTCTATGGGATACATCTCCATCTAATTCACCATCCTTCTGAATTATGGAGCTCAAGTAATGAAACATATCACACACCGGTATCTCCTTACCATCAAGAGTAATCCCACTATTGCTACTACATCTACCTCCATCAAACTTGCACATCATATACTCAGTCTTGCTTCGGCTCAATCTGAAACTCTTGGTCTCCAATGTTTGTCGCCATACTTCCAACTTTGCTTTAACATCTGATTGTGTCTCATCAATCAATACAATATCGTCAGCAAACATCATGCACCACAGTATATCTTCTTGAATTGACTTCGTAAGTTCATCCATGACTATAACAAATAAGAAAGGACTTATAGCTGATCCTTGATGCACTCCAATAGTAATAGGGAACTATGCGGTCCTCTCTGCACTAGTATGAACACTCATAGTGCAAGCCTCATAAGTATCCATGATGATACTGATATATTTACGTGATATGCCTTTTCCAGTTCAGGCTCACCAAAGGACTTCTCGAGTTATCCTATCATATGTCTTTTATGAGTCAATGAACACCAAATGCAGATCCTTTTTTATGTCTATATACTTCTCTACAACTTGTCTAAGAAGGTGAATGGCCTCAGTTGTTGAGTGTCCACACATAAAACTAAACCGGTTCTGCGAAATTTTCACACTTTTTCGTAGCCTTTGCTAAACCACGCGCTCCCAAAGTTTCATGGTGTGACTCATAAACTAATCCTTCAATATTTGGCACATTCTTGTACATCACCCTTATTTTTAAATAGGGGAATGAGAGTACTCTTTTGCCAACTCATTGACATTTTGTTGTTTCTCCAAATCATGTTGAAGAAACGTGTTAGCCACTCAATGCCTTTCTCTCCCAAACTTCTCCAAGCCTCGATCAGTATGCCATCTGGGCCCACTGCTTTCTTCCACCCCATCTTTCTCATAGCCTCTTTAACTTCTGTTATTTGAATCATTCTCATGAAGTCCCGATTTACCATACACTCTGGTATAGTAAGATCATCAACACCTTGCACTTTATTTCCGTTGAACAAGGTATCAAAATATGGCCTCCACCTCTCCTTTATTTCATCATCCTCCATTAGTACCCTTTGATCGACATGTTTCACACACTTAGCTTTTCCGATATCTTGAGTCCTACGGTCATGAAGACGAGCAAGTATGTAAAAATCTTTTTCTTCTTCATTAGAGTCCACTTTTGCATACAATTCCTTGTTCACTTTTCCTCTTGCTTCCTTTACAGCTTTCTTTGTTATTCTTCTAGCTTCCTTGTACTCCTCTATGTTCTCGTCGCTCCAACTTTTTCTCAATTTCTTATAGCATTCCCTTTTGGATCTCATTGCCTGTTTCACCTCATCATTTCATCAAGATGTGTCCTTTTTTTATGGTAGACATCCTTTAGATTTTTCAAGTATCTCTTTCGCCACTTTGTAAATGGTGGACTCCATTGATAACCACACATCATCCACATGTGCGTCATTATCAATGGACCATGCATCTTTCTCCAACATTTTATGTGCAAGAGTTTGTTAGAAAATCCCCTCGAGCCTCCACCACTTTATCTTTGGCTCCCTTTGTACCTTAAACCGTCTTCTCTTTTTACCTTGAAAATTAAGCACAAGAGAGACAGAAAATAGAGAATTGCAAACAATAAAGTAATCATCTGATACTAACCTTCCTCTAACCAAACGTAACCATAAGCCCACTGGCCCCTCATTCCTTCATAAAACATAGAGTAGTCCATTCTAAAAAGAGCGAGATTAATCCTTGAAAATGTTAGAGCTTTGAGGCTATTAGCGACTGAATCATCGTGATTGTCTCTCAACAGAAATCTAGC